ATATTGAAAAATATATCTCTGTGAGCAATTTGTTTACACATAGAGATTTTCACAAATTATAATTGTGGTTTTTCCATGGAGAATAGGTAAAATAGTAATTATTATTTTTTGAATCGATATTAGTTTTGCAAAAAATATATTGTCTTTTCTGTGCACCATTTATGACTTCACTAAAATTGCAATAATTTCACATTTTAGTGACATTTTTATCATAATATCGAAAAATTGCAAGTATTACAATATACATAGAAAGGGAATTAAATTGTGAAAACTGTAGATGATGCAGAATTGTATAGTAGTTACATAGAAAAAAATAATTGTTTTTACTATTCGCTGAAAAAATAATTATTGACATTTGGATAGCCATGGATAGCCATAATAATTATAATTTTAACAACAGAGATATATTTTTTGTAGTATACTTTTAATACTTAATATATTTTTAATACTTATATATTTGCTATGAGATGTATTCTGACATATATTTTTATCGATTTTTTATTTAATGATAACTATATAAAATATAATAACATTGCAAAAAATCAAAAAAGGTAATGAATTAAAATTAAAATAAAATACTTTTTATTGCCGACGTAAATATATGAAAAATATTGAAATCTTAAGTTTTTCATACATTGAAATATATTAGTCAGAAGCTTAAGAGCCGCACTGGTAGAAAATGGAAAATGATAAATCATTTTCACCTTTTCACGCACTAACAAATAATTTTTTCTTCACATCATTTGTTATAAACAACATAGACAAGATCAGTATGAATAGAATGACGTTAACAGTTTTTCGATATCTCTCATATTTCCGACAAAAAGTGAGTTTGAAAAAAGGGGCCACTTTTACATGTTTTCACTGATATCTCGGCCAAATGATGAGCTACGGATTTGAAATTTGGTATTTCGAATTTTCTCAAAAATACCTATGAAATGGCATCAAAATTATTTAAATACCAGGGTGGGGCCAATTCTGTATGGAAACACGACCAGACCCTTTATCAGTTCTTTTTTCCAATCTTTCTAAATATTTATGTTGACTCCGTATTAGATGCAACTTTCTTACAATTGCTCTTTTTTTAATTAAGAATTTCCTTGGCCTTGACTAAAGATTGCTTGCTGCTGGTTCCGGAAACTTTGTCATTGACCAACTTCGAATCAAATAAATTGATTTTCAAATGTCTTTTGGAAAAGAAATCATGGACCTTACTTAACAAGTCCGAAGACTCATATACAATGTTCGACAACTTTATTTCTACATTTTTATTCAACTTCAATCAAGCTTTCCCTCTCATTAAGAAAACCGTTTGCCCAAAAAATAATACTGCAACTCCTTGGCTAACTAAAGATTCTCTAAAAAGATTAGCATTTCTTGAGAGATTATCGGTACATAATGATAACATGGCTTTTATGATTTATTTTTTGAATTATAGGGCAACTTTAAATGATCTAATCAATTTAGCGAAGATCAAATTCAACGATAACTTGATTTTTAATTCAGCAAATAAACAGAAAACAATTTGGTCCTTAATTATCTCGGAAATTAATACGAAAACTAAATCTTCACAGATTGATTGTCTTACAATTAACGGCGACAAGATTATTGATAAAGTAGTCATACCTAATAAATTTAATCACTTTTTTGTCATCGAAGCGTCTAAATTAACTCGATCACCATTAGTTAAACTAAATATCTATCCGCGCGAAATAATTCTACATTTGTTCTTTATCATGTAAATTTAGAAGAATTAAAGCAAACTTTTCTATCGATAAAAGTTACTACTTCAGCGGGTCCGGATCAGATACCTAGTCTAATTCTTAAAGAATTCTCTCTCTTTTTCTATATATTTTTTTTCTATATATATTTTTCTATATAGATAGATTTATGTTATGTTTAAATAAATGCTTCGTTGAAGAAATATTTCCATCCCACCTCAAGCATTCAAAATTTTTTCTACTTCATAAGAAAAATAATAAAGACGATATAAATAATTACCGTCCTATTTCCTTTTTGAACTCTTTCGATAAAATAATTGAAAAAATCTTGCATACTAGATTAACGTCTTTTCTCAATAAATATAATATTTTGTTCAAGAATCAGCATGGTTTCCGGAAGAACCATTCTACTTCCCACTCAATTTATAATTTAGTTCATAACATCATTGACTCCTTCGAAGAAGCCACATATTGTACTGCGATATTTTGCGATCTGTCCAAAGCTTTTGATAGTATTTCTCATCAAAGACTTCTTGATAAATTAGAAAATTGTGGTATTCGCGGATGTTCGCTCAAACTATTTGAATCTTACCTGTCTAATCGAACACAAAGCGTTTACTTAATTAACGATCACGAGCAAATAATTTCGGATAAATTGACAAGTACATTGGGTGTGCCCCAAGGATCAATTTTAGGGCTTCTTTTATTTCTAATATATATTAATGATTTACTCCATTACAAATCTTTGTGATTTTATTCTTTTTGCGGATGACACCAGCGTTATCACCAAGGCCAAATCTCTTAATGTATTACAACATAAATTAAATGTGGTTATGTCAGAAATAACGAAATGGTTTTGTGAAAATAATCTAGTCCTCAATAATGATAAGACCCAACCTGTACAATCATTTTTTTTTTATTGCTATTTTATTAATTTAATTTTTTACGGTTTTAAATGAGTATAACTTTGAACTTTGTGCAAGAATTTTTGAGCTTGACTGGTGATCAAATTGACTTTAATATGATGAACTTGATGATGAACATTGTATTAAATGTTCGAATCGCCTTTTTTCAGCTCTTTTTTTTCAGAATCGAAATTCGTGCAGCTACTATGATTATTATAAAATTACTATCCTTTTAATATTAACTATGAATAAGCTTGACAAGAGCCTGAAATAATATCTATTATTATTGATTACGGCTTGCTTATGAATAAATAAATAAACTAGCTGTAAGTGGAATTCTGTCTTGAGGCAATTATGGCATCGTGCCTTAAGGCAAATTGCTGGAACTTCCCGTACCGTAACGAAATGTTCGAGGAATACTGAATGTTTCCAAATAGATTATTATAAATATTGTAACATTGTCTAATATTTATAAGAATTATATAAACTGAATTGCAGAGTTGAAATTATTTATAAAGTATATTAGAAATAATAGTCAGAATTAAAAATAAAATCTGAAATATTTTCGATATACAAAAAATTAAAAAAAAAAAAAAAAGTTGGGACAAAATTTTTTTTTCCAAAATCGATCATTTTGTTAAGACAAGCAGAAAGTTCTTTGAATCATTTAAATCGGATGCTTAGTTCTTTCAAAACCTGCCATTTTTTACATATTTAGCTCCGTATCTTCGAAATGGCTGGGCCTGCCTTTGCCAAAAACTAATAAACTCTTCTCCCAATCATTACTAATTGAATGTTTTTTAGATGATTCAAATCTGATACTCCGTTCTCTCAAAAAATTGATTTCTATTTTCTGCACTCTTTGCTCCGTATCTCCGAAACGGCTGGACCTGCCTTTGCCAAAAACTAATCAGCTCTTTTCCCTATCAATAGGAATCGAATGTTTTTTGAACCATTCAAATCGGTTGATCCGTACGCCCTAAAACGTGACTGGAAATTTGTATCCATACATACATACACACACACACACACATACACACACACACACACACATCCATTTTTTCTGAGGTATGCCAAAACGTTCAGAAACCTTCAAAACGTCGAGAAATGTAAAAATTTTCAATTTCGATTTTCGGCCCATTACAATAACTTACCCTACGGGAAGTTAATAAATAAGAGTAGTTCTTAAGGATTTTTAAAATTTACATTCCATCAAAGTTGACTTCAACATTGAACCAGCTTTCAATCTATCTAATTATTTTCAGTAATCACACCAGAAACCTTTAGTTCTTTTTTTGCTAGTATCACTCCAATCAGCAAAACATTAACACAAAAAATCTAAAATTACTTCTACCTTAGTAATTGAGGTTTTACCAGGTTAAATCAAAAACAATCACTGATTATGGTACTACAACTAACAATCATCAATAACTCTAACTTCTTATACCGAACTTGAATGAAAAAGATTTTTGAATGAATGATTTTAAGAATATTGTGTATCAATAAATTAGATTTGGATGTTCATGTAGTTTTTCTTCAGTTATTCAAAGGTAACAAGGATGGCGATTCGATACGATATAACGAGTTTGAAGTTCCAATAATCGCTCAGTGGATCAGGATTAATCCTACCAGGTGGAGGGACAGGATCTCACTTCGAGTTGAACTTTATGGCTGCGATTATAGTAAGTAGAAAAGTAACCAACCAAAGTAAAATATAATAGCATACCTGTGCTACCAGTTCAAAATTTTAACTTTATTCTTAGTCAACCATAAAACAACCAGTTCATAAAATTTGATATCGTACTTGTGCATCTATAAGTTGACCAAGAACAAATATCATCTTCTAGGTTTGTCATCACTTCCAACCAGTTTGGAAAAAATTATTGAAAAACCATTTTTCAAAAACCATACAAGCAGAAATTTTTAACATACAAAAAACACGAAGTGAAGTTAAATATAGCTCTAGGAGTTCCACAAGGTTTTGTTCTTGGTCCTTGCAATTTTAGGAAGAATTTTCTGAAGTTTGTTAAAAATCCAAGCCAAGTTGTAACTGATTTTGGCGAATAAAATTGATTTAATTTAGATATATTTTATCCTTTCAGCTCTGAACCCATTATCCTGAAACTATTGAAAAACCATTTTTCCTTCATCCCTGTCTACTTATTGGTATATTTCTATTACCTCAGATGCCGAAACATTATACTTCAATGGTACATCCCTGGTTCAACTGGACTTGCTAAGAGATCCAATATCAGCCAGCAAGGAATCGATCAGGTTCAGATTCAAAACAGCCAAAGACAATGGAGTGCTTCTGTACAGCCGAGGCACTCAGGGTGATTTCATAGCCTTGCAACTTTTGGATAACAGGATGCTGCTGAATATGGATTTAGGTGATAAGACTTATATTTGTAAGATGGATTTAATTTAATGACAATGTTGAGGTTATGTTTGTTTTTTAGGTTCCCGGATGATGACCAGTTTGTCCGTGGGCAGTTTGCTTGATGACAACATCTGGCACGATGTTGTGATTTCAAGAGACAAGAGGGATGTTGTCTTTTCAGTCGACAGAGTCATGATACAAGGGAAGTTGAAGGGAGAGTTTTATAGGCTGAACTTGAACCGGGAGGTATGTAGGTCATCTATTGGTTTATATCAGCGTTTTTCAAACTTATTTTTTGCAACGCCCCTTTTGAAGATAAAAAAATTTGTAGTGCCCCCTACCAATTTTTTTTATACCTATATAAAATCTCAAACCTTCAATTTTAATAATATATTTATAATGTGCTATATTAGTTGATGTAACCTTACATTCTAAATTAGAAAATTTTACCAGTGAGAGCAAATAAAACGCTACTTAAAACAATGCATACATGTAAAAAAAAAAAGTTAGTTGTCTCTTATTGCTCCCCTGGATATTACAATCGCCCACCGGGGGGCGATATCGGCCTCTTTGAGAAGGGCTGGTTTATCTATATATATATATATAAAAATGGATTGCTTAAGTTAGAACACTTATAACTCACGAACGGCTGTACCGATTTAGATGAAAATTGTCAGGGAGAGCCAGGAGAAACATATGAAATACTTTTTATCCCGTTTTTCATTCTAATTCAATATATATATATATATATATATATATATATATATAAATATATATAAATATACTAGCTAGCCCGGCCATGCGTTGCTGTGGCTCAGTAATCTATTGGTGGCAGAGATGTAGTTTAGAGCCAGAATTCAGAATTCATTATTTATAAACTTCCATGTAGTTTATTCAATCTGTAATACTATCAATGATTTTATCTATGACATTTACCTTCGATTGTCAATTATCATTCGGTGTTTCTGTCATTGAAATTAACCTCTACTACCTCATGTTAAATATAGTGAATGAATATTAGTTCTTGGTTCTTTCTATATATAAGGTGAAGTGAAGTTTAATTAATAATGCCGCGACCAAGACGATCGATTCTTTCCCAATAAAGCCGTAATGCGAAATATTGCAAATGCAAGAACTGAAGAAGAGCATTACATACATTTACATTTACATGTACATTTTGTCGAATAACTTATTCCCAGATATAATTTACCAGAATTTAACGAAGAATGGTTAATAATATATTAAGGTACGGGGTTAAAAGTTCCAGGACCAAAATGTCAAAAACGAGTAAAGCTAAAGCATTGGTTTAACAACATTATTTGAAAGTAAAGGGAAAAGGATGTATAACCAGCTATAACCTTGATTCTTATGACTTTGATATTGGGAGATAAACGGTCATCTTTGAAAATCTATAGTAAAAGTATTTTCTTCTGTTGGTACTTTTTTAGCATTAGTTAAAAATGTAATTATTTTGTAAAATACCTTTAAAATTAAAATAAGACATTAAATCTGTTTGTCATCTGGCCGCTCCAAGTTACCCCGCCTATAGGGCAAAAAGTTATAAATAACAAATTTTTGAAAGACAGCAAAAAAAAGCACGTTTTTACAATGATGAAGTAGCTGGTAGTTTTACTGAACGCAGTCAAATAATTGTTCGTTTGAAATGTGTCATTTGTTGTGATAAAATTGGTTTGATTTTCATAATAAAATTTATATTTGCTCAAACTCAAATTGGACCTTTGTGTCTTGCCCTGTCTTACGTATATACTTTTTTTTATTAAATTTACTTTAATTCAAGGATGTTACTTGAAACTTTTCAAAAAGCAAGTCAAAGCAGATATATCTAATTCATTTGCTATTTCTCCTTGCAGAAATTTGAAAAATTTGTATAAGCTCAGTAGTATTATTTACAATTATACAAAAAATCCAGAATCTAAAAAGAATCTGAAAAGCTTAAAACGTAATCAATAATAATAAGTCGAAATACCAAAAAAAGACTTGGATTGGATTATACCTTGATTTCTATAGAAAGTGCATAAAGCTTCCAGTTTGATTGTATTGACAAAACATAGACAAACTAATGGGGTTTATTGTTTTTATAATACCTCATTATATATAGCATTCGAACACATCCTTATGCACTTAAAGTATTAATATTTTTGATTCTCTGGAAATTGTTTAGAATATACCTTACTTAGCAAAACAACGTTTGCCGGGTCAGCTAGTATATTTATATATCTAAAATTTTGTGTCTATTTTCAGTTTTACATTGGTGGCGTCCCGAACACTCAAGAAGGCCTGGTGGTTGCTCAAAATTTCACAGGTTGCATGGAAAATTTGTATTTCAATTCCACGAACATCATGTTGGACATGAGGCAAGCTTTTGAAGAAGGAGAGGCTCTTCGGTACACCAAAGTCCATACGATGTATACTTGTCCGGTAAGAAAAATAATAATATAGTCTTATTTTTTGTTTACCAATACTTTTAATTATTTTTTTATTTACAGGAACCTCCAATTATCCCAGTAACCTTCCTGACAAGCAAGGCGCATGCCAAACTAAGAGGATATGAAGGTGTCAACTCGATGAACGTTTCGTTCTCCTTCAGGACTTACGAAGAGACTGGCATGATGCTGTTCCATGAATTTACAAGCCGAGGGCATGTTAAGGTAATATATATACTTTGTATATATTCTTGTTATATTAATATTATTCATTCTTTATTTTTTTTCTAGTAATTTATATTTATTTTGTTCTAATGACTCAATTATTAACTACTGAACCAGTCAATAGAGGCATTTTTATTGTAACAATTTTTTACAAAATGCCATGTATCTCCTAAAGCAAGGGCGAGTAACCTTTTCTACCCGCGGGCCAATTTAAATTTTCAAATTTTATGGCGGGCCGCACGTAATTTATATATATACTAGCTGACCCGGCGAACATTTTGGTACAGAAAATATTTATAAAAAATCATTAGTATAAGAAATGACTAATTCTGAATGTATAAATATTATTACATTGACAATTTACCCACTACAACGCTAAAATACTAACATTCATATTGTAATTATGTTATACTCTGAAAAAAATTCCAATTTTCTCTCAAAAACAGTTTTAGCTCCTGATTATAAAATTGAATTTTTAATTTTTTTGCTGAAATAGCTCCTTTTGTGAGACATTCAAAAATTTCTTATGCACATCGAGAAATGTTTGTACAATAGGATAAGCCTGCAAATCAGTTAGTTTTATCCAAAGTAACCATTTGGTTGCCAATGTCCAAGAATTGTTTTTGATTGAGCGGATAAATTTAAGCTTTTTTATAAGCTCAGAAAAATCTTGATCGAATTTCAATTAAAAACGTTCACAAAAAGGCGAGAATAGTTAATTGATCGATTACCGAGCTAAATAAAAAATGATTGATTTCTTAAATGACTATTATAAAATAATGAAAATTTGGAGTTGTATATAGTTTTACATTCCGCATTAAAAAAAAATTAAAATATAGACCAAAATTTAAAAAAAATGTTACGTTCGTACAATCCGTGATAAAAATAAATTGCTTTTTCTTTTTAAATAAAACTGAAGCTTTTTCATAAACTCAAAAGTCTGAACTAATTTTAAGTCAAAAGATTTGTTGACTGGGCGCAGAAATAATGTAATTGCAACAAAATTACAAAATTGCCACAAGAACAAATATACATAATTGAAAAAAGAATATATTTTATATAATTACGAGTGTATGTTGTAAGTGTTTATAAATATAAATAGAAAATAAAAACAAATAATAGTTAAACAGAAAAACCAATTTACTTGAAAACTTTAATAAAAAATTTGGCACTGCTTTTTTTATATAAGCTGAACAATATCAGCCGTTTTTTTTAGATTGTGTTCTTTATTTTAATTTTTTGATGCGAAAAGTATGTTTTACTCAGTTTTGGTAGGTGGTATTTTTTATGAATTTTATGATTGAAATTAACACAGGTTCACAAAAAAGAGTTATCTGTATTGGGTTGTGACATATGTTTTCCAATGTACCTTTTACCGCTGAAGTTAAATCCATAGTCAAAATTGGGGCACAAAATATTGAAAAACATTTAAAAACTGGCACAATCTCTAATTTAGATTTTTTTCTGAATGAATGAATTATCATCGAGCGGCTTTTCTTTTGTGGACCAAAAAAAGAATTTATCATAATTTGATTTGTTTTTTTTCAAAAGCGAAAAAATGCATTTTTTAAATGTGTATTATTTAACATGGCGGAGAAAACATTTACATGAAAACAGCTGTCTTGTTATCTTTGAACATTTGGAATCACATTTAAAATTTGTTCACATTTTCTTTTTTTTGAATATGAAAAGTGAAACACAAGATTCTGCAAAAGATATTGTTCTTTATTACCAAAATGACGAAAGCACTATACGTATTATTTCATATCCAAAAACAATTGCAGTTCGCCATTTGACTCGTATATTCCTTTATGCATTGCATCACCATTGAGCTAAAGTACTTTAGTATTGAAAATCGATATATTCACGATCTAAATTGCTCGTGACTTTATAAGATTTACTTATTTAATTTTTTTTCTATTTAGAAATGCGTTGTTGCTATGTTCTCGGGCAAGTTCTCAATTTTTCTAGCAATATTAAAGCTTGTTAAACTAATATTTAAAAAAATTAATATTTATTTTATCAGAAAATGCTATTTTTTCGAACAACAGTTTTTACCAGAATTTGACTGGCGACAAAATTAACCTTTACGGCCGTATTTGAAATTTTTTTAGAAAAATCTGTTTGTCCTAAAGGATGCAAGTCATTTCTTTAAACTAATTGTTACCTTGAAGCTAGTATATGACCCTTTTTATTTGTTAAAATAATTCATAACTTTATCTTCATTAGTTTAGCAGAAATTTATCACTGAAATGTTTCAGTGACTCTTAGGCACTTTTTTCCACTACTTACATTTTTTCACAGAATGCTATGTATCTCCTGAACTATTCAATTCATTTTTTTAAACTAATTTTTATCTCAAAGTTAATTTCAGACTCTTTAATTTCTTCAAACATGTATGTATACATATGAACAAGAGTCTATTTTCTAGGTTTATCTAGAAGAAGGTAAAGTAAAAGTAGAGCTGGTCACCGAAAACAACCCCGTAGCAATCCTAGACAACTACGAAGAGACTTTCAACGATGGCAAATGGCACAACCTAGTTTTGACAATATCAACCAATTTACTAGTTCTGGATATCGACAAGAGACCCATGAGAACCGTGAGGATAATATCAATGCAGACCGGATCTCTGTACCTTATAGCAGGTAATAAAAGAATCTCATTTACCCAAATTTGGTAAGAATAGAATCCTATTTAACTTTACTTTTTTATTTCTTTTATCTAGGTGGTAAGAACGGTCCAGGTTTTGTCGGCTGCATGAGGATGATCTCGGTGGATGGTAACTACAAATTGCCATCGGATTGGAAGAAGGAGGAGTACTGCTGCGATGGTGAGGTTGTTTTTGATGCCTGCAGGATGACCGACAGGTGCAACCCGAATCCTTGCAAACATAACGGAATTTGCAGGCAGAACAGTATTGAATTTTTCTGTGATTGCCAGAGCACTGGATATGCTGGAGCTGTCTGCCACACTTGTAAGTGGAAAATGATAAGATAAATATAGCTCTAGGAGTTCCACAAGGATCTGTTCTTGGTCCATAATCCGTAGGGTGTAAATTTGCAAATTCTAGTGAAAATATCGAAAATAATTACATTTATGAAATAAAATTTATATGCCCCAAGTTGTAGCTAGTAAAATTTTGGCAATAACGTGGATTTAATTCAATTTATGATATTTATTGATATGCTAGATGATCCGACAAACATTGTCCTGTACCCATGTCTACAATTTTTTAATATAATATACTAATTTTACTGTTGACCTAAAAGTAATAATTATTGTTTTTTAAATTACTCTACACGCCAAAATACATATACATTTTACAATATGAGCGATGTTAAATGTAGAACTGCTTTAAATAAAATTATGAGTCTCAATTCCCACATTATATTAAATATTGAAGTATTTTAAACGGTATAACATAACCATAACCATAACATAACACTGGTACTTCATGTTGGATTAAATTAATTTAATTTTTTATTATTTAAGAAATCCAAAATTGTATCTTAATCTTAAGTGAAATTTTTACGAATTTTAAAAATATTGTAGAAAGATCAGTAGAAGATGCAAAGGAATTATATATTGAAAAAAAAAAAAACTATATTGAAAATTTAATATCCGAATCTTGTGTTGATGCCCCCTAAGGCGTGCACTTGTATTTTTGCATGCATCGCATTAAAAGTAGGACTGGCCCTGATTAATACTTAATTTCATATTTTAAGTGAATTAATTTGTCATATTCTGTTCATATGTGTATCATTCAATCTGCCATACATGTACTGTATTTTATATTATTTCAATTTCTGGCACATCTTTCTCAGCTGCTTTTCGGCAATAATAATATAGACATTTCATTTTTCTTATTCATAATCATAAATTTATTATACATATTCTAATATTGTCTAGGTTCATAAGTAAATTGAAATTTTTGGTAGATGCTAGTTTTCATTTGTTTTCAATGCAAACAATTACATGTCGTTTTTTGCAATTTTTTCCATTTATTTCTACAATATTGCACATACATCCCAATACTTTATAATCACATACATCATAGAAAATTTTCTTAACAAAATTCAGAAAGATTTATCAAAATCCGCATAATCGTTTAGGAGGAGTATACAGTGAGTGCTTGTAATTTAATATGAACTTTATATAATAGCAATAAAGATCAAAGTGATTCTACGTTTTAGTTAGAAAACGTTTGTATGAGAAAAAGAAAAGGGCTGTTTTTAGGGTTTTTTTTTTGGCAATTATTCGATTTTTTCTCGCCATAAGAACCGTCTTTGGACTTCAACGAACATTTTAAAAAAATAATTGGCAAAATTGGTCCAGGCGTTGTTGAGTTATGCGCTCACCAACACATTTTGAGATTCATTTTTATATATATAAGATTAAAGTAAATAAATATAGCTCTAGGAGTTCCACAAGGTCTATTGCATCTGCTCTGGTAGGGTGAAAATTTGTGGAAACAGCTGTAGCTGATAAAAATTTGGCGAAAACGCAGACAAAGAATTTAATTCTATTTATCTTTTATCCTTTCAGCTCTGAATCCATTATCCTGCCAGGCTTACAAAAATGTACATTCCGTAAACGTTCGGGCTCGAATAAAAATTGACGTCGACGGAAGTGGACCCTTGGATCCTTTCCCAGTAACGTGCGAGTTTTACAGTAAGCAACCTTTTTATTTTCTCGCCATTAAAAATATTTATTAATTATTAATTTTTTTCAGGTGATGGTCGTGTGGTGACTCTTCTAAGTCACAGTCAAGAGCATTCGACGATCGTGGACGGTTTCCAGGAAGCAGGAAGCTTCAAACAGAATATTCTGTACGATGCTTCTATGAACCAAATCGAGGCCTTGCTTAATCGATCCACCAGCTGTAGACAACGGTTGACTTATGCCTGCAGGGCATCCAAGTTGATGAACTCACCATGTAAGATAAAAGACACATAAAAACAATTTTTTGACTTTTCCTTATCTCCTGTTTTAATTGTCTCTGACTATTTATTCTTAGCTGAAGAAGTTAACTTCCGTCCCATGTCCTGGTGGGTGTCCAGACACAACCAGAGAATGGACTACTGGGCAGGAGGTTTACCAGGAAGTAGGAAATGCGAATGCGGTATTGCTGATAATTGTGTAGATCCCACCAAATGGTGCAACTGTGACGCTGGTAGACTTGGTAAGAAAATAGATAACTTTGATAAATATTAGGTTGTCAAATATCTCCCTTCCGCCTTTTTGTATTATAAACCAATAGCAAAAAAGCGGAAGGGAGATATTTGACAACCTAATATACTTGATTAATTTCACGTAGAGTAGTTATAGTAATGGGCCGAAAATCGAAAATGAAAATTTTTGCATTTCTCGACGTTTTGAAGGTTTCTGAACATTTTCAAGGAGCATACTTCAGAAACTAAATGGATGTGTGTGTGTGTGTGTTTTGTATGTCCGCATTTTTTAACCGGTTTGAATGATTCATTTACCATTCGATTTGCATTGATAGGGAGATGTGCGGATTAGTTTTTGGCAAAGGTAGGTCCAGCCGTTACGGAGATACGGAGCAAAGAGTGCAGAAAATACAAATCGAGTTCTTGAGAGAACGGAGTATCGGATTTGAATGATCTAAAAAACATTCAATTTGTAATGATTGGTAGAAGAGGTGATTAGTTTTTGGCAAATACAGGTCCCGCCATTTCGGAGAGCTTCGTAGGCTAAATGTGTAAAAAAAATTTCATTTCTCATTTTCCATAAAATATTTTTGTAATTTTGGATTAAAAATTCAAAAAATTGCCCAGGTTAAGCACAGCCTAAGCGCCACTCTGGTACAAATGTTTACCCAAAACTATTGAAAAATGTGAAAATGCCGCCAAGCTAAGCACAGTACAAGCGAAAATGTCGCACAGAATTATTTGCAAATGCGTTTAGACTGTGACTATACGGGAGCGATTTTTCAATTTTGTGTAAATTAGGCAACTATTTTTTTTAAATTGAATTCGAAATGAAATGACGATTGTTAATGTTCCGGGAGATAAATTGATTTATGATTTACATTTGATTTACTCATTGTCAGATATAATAAGATAGCAAAAAAAATATTAAATAAAAATTAAAATAAAATAAAAAAAAAATAAAATTAAATTAAAAATAAATTCAAATAGTTTAATTAAGGCTTGTAGATCTTGAGATTCTTTTTATAGTAAGAAAATCCTTTAAATATCCTTTAAATAATAATTAAGAGCAGTATCAAAACAAAATATATAATATGAAAATAATTGTAATGTTAAAATACTAAGGGTAGAAAAATGTTAAAATTTAGAATGAAAATTAGAAAAAGTATGGAAAAGGGAGAAACTAATTGTAACTATTGGAAAAAAAAGTATCAAATATTATCAGTAGGCATTTCATTATCAAAATAATGTTTGATATCGAAATTGGCAAACTCAGAAGTATTGTAGAAACTTTGGGCTTTTAAAAGTTTAACAATGGTATTATGAAATTGACGATCATTCAATTTCCTAATATGTAGTGGGAGTAGATTAAAAAGCTGTACTCCTCTTTCATCTATGGTATCGAAAGATGTTTCAAGTTTAAAAGATGGTCCTTTTATAGTCAAATTTCTTGTTTTATAATAGGAATTCAACATAGAGGATATGTTGAAGCGTTCAGGATTATTCTTTATGAATGACAACGTTTAGCAAATGACAATTAGCAAAAATATACAAGGAACAGTGAGAACAGTGTTGTTAAATAGTCGGAAAAGATTCCTACATAAGGACAAAGAACTGAGGGAAAAATATTCTTAATGCTTTTTTCTGTAATTTGAATATATCCTTTAAGGATGACGAGAATCCGCAGCTTGCGAATAGAAATTAGAATAATAAATTGAAAGAAGGCAATTTAAACTAATTTTTGATTTTAGAATCCTCAACATGAAACAGGTTTTAATTAACTTAGGAATTAACAAGTATGGAATGAATATGATTGTCCCAGTTCAAGTTACAGTATTTGTAATGATGTATTTGAAAACGTTTAATATTTCTCGAATATTTCGTTACGGTACGGGAAGTTTCAGCAATTTGCCTCAAGGCACGATGCCATACACTACTAGTTGTCTAATTTTGTTTCATTTTTTCAGAATGGGAAGAAGATGGCGGTGACATTACAGAAAAGGAGTATCTTCCTGTTAGACAACTGCGTTTTGGTGACACTGGCAATCCTTTGGACGAGAAAGAGGGCAGATATACTTTGGGACCGTTGCTTTGTGAAGGGGATGGTAAATAAATGATAGTTTTTTGCTTCATGTATATATTTTACTAATTCTGATGTTTTTTGGGTGCAGATCTTTTCAACAACGTGGTGACTATAAGGATTAAAGATGCCGCTTTGAATATTCCGACGTTCGATATGGGTCACAGTGGAGATATATATTTTGAATTCAAGACTACTATTGAGAATGCTGTCTTATTGCATAGCACTGTAATAATATAATAATATAAGAATAATAATAATAATAATAATAATAATGATAATGATAATAATAATGATAATGATGATGATAAATTTAATCTATTTAATCTATCTATTATCTCAGGGACCTACAGACAACATAAAGCTGTCGATCATCGGTGGAACCAAACTCCAGTTCCAATATCAAGCAGGAAGCGGACCATTGGGTGTCAGTGTTGAAACCGCTTACCATCTGAATGACGACAACTGGCACTCCGTCAGCGTCGAGAGAAATAGGTAAAAAAAACATTTGCTTATTATAATTTTTTCCTTGGTTTCATGTTTCATCTTCCTTTTTAGGAAGGAAGCTCGTATAGTTGTGGACGGTGCCCAAAAAGCTGAAGTCAGAGAACCACCAGGACCAGTCAGAGCCTTACATCTAACATCCGATTTAACAATTGGTGCTTCTGTCGATTATCGTGACGGTTTTGTTGGTTGTATACGTGCCTTGTTGCTGAATGGAGAGTTGGTGGATTTGAAAGGATATGCCAAGAGAGGTAACTTTTGGATTAAAAATATATACAGCATGATTTTTTTACACATTGTCGTTTTTTCCAGGTCTTTATGGAATTACCCAAGGTTGCGTCGGAAAATGCGAGAGCAGCCCTTGTTTGAACAATGGTATTTGCCACGAGGGTTATGATGGATATTCATGTGACTGCCGGTGGACTGCTTTTAAAGGACCTATTTGTGCTGATGGTAAGTCATCACATCATATTATTATTATTATGCAATGTGTCATTATATTTATCTATTATTCTTTTTCTAGAAATTGGTGTGAATTTGAGACAAAGCAGTATGATCAAGTACGATTTTATGGGTTCCTGGAGGTCTACGATTAAGGAAAACATCAGGGTTGGATTTACGACGACGAACCCGAAAGGATTTTTACTAGGGTTCTTCTCTAATATTACTGGAGAGTACTTGACCATGATGGTGTCCAATTCAGGTAAATATAACTATGTTCCAATTTAAATATTTACCACGTTTATTAAATTGTTTTGTGGTTTTGAAGGACACTTCAGGGTTGTCTTTGACTTTGGATTTGAAAGACAAGAAGTTATTTTTCCGAATAAGCATTTTGGACTTGGACAATACCATGATGTGAGACTGTCCAGGAAAAACGCAGGATCAACTCTAGTTCTTAAGGTAACAATCTATTAAAATTACCAATTTCACCAAGTTCTGTCTTCAATTTGTCTTCAAAAACACGAACATTTAATGCACAATAAAATATATTTTATTCAGCAGAAAACTAAGTATGAAATTGGGTGTTCCACAAGGTTTCATTCTTGGTCCACTGATTATTTTTTATTTATAGAAATAGTTTGCTAAATTATTATTATTATTTTTATCATTACTATATTATTATTATCTTATTTTTTCTAATATTGTTATTTTGTTATATTTATTATTATCTGTCACTTATTGTTTTTATTCCACTTTATTGTTTTTCTAGTATTATTTTATTATTAAGAAATTTTATTTATTAATTTTAGTAATATTATTATTATTATTTGTTCTTATTAACTTCCCGTAGGGTAAGTTATTGTAATGGGCCGAAAATCGGAATTGAAAATTTTTTACATTTCTCGACGTTTTGAAGGTTTCTGAACGTTTTTTGGTTTGTCTTGAACGATTTGAATGGTTCAAAAAGCATTCGATTCCTATTGATTGGGAAAAGAGCTGATTAGTTTTTGGCAAAGGCAGGTCCAGCCGTTTTGGAGATTCGGAGCAAAGAGTGCAGAAAATAGAAATCGAATTTTTGAGCGAACGGAGTCTGAATATTGAATCATCATACTACGGATATCATTTTAATGTAAATTCTATCCTTTGTACTCTTTTTTATTTAAATTTATGTTATTGTTCATTATTATTACTAGATGCTAAATTATTTAACAGTTGTAATAAATATAGTAAATAAAAAAAAATTAAACTTTGTTATTTTTCACAGATTGACAATTATGATCCAGTTGAGTACCATTTCAACGTCAAATCATCAGCAGATGCCCAGTTCAACAACATCCAGTACATGTACATTGGCAAAAACGAAACCATGACGGAAGGATTTACAGGATGTGTCTCTCGTGTTGAGTTTGATGATATCTATCCTTTGAAGTTGCTGTTCCAGCAGAACGGACCTGCTAATGTTAAATCTCTAGGAAGTAAGGAAAAAAAACAACTAAAAATTAGCAGTCCTTTAAAAAAAGATCAGTAAAAAGTAACAACTAGAAATTATCGCTCTTTTAAAAATAGATCAGATATTTAGAGATGATCAGTGGTCATCAGATGATGAGTCAGTAAATTTATTATTTAGGAGTGCTTTATGGGTGTTTTTTCCTTTCAGCTCCACTTACAGAAGATTTCTGTGGTGTAGAACCGGTTACCCATCCTCCAAATGAAATTGAGACCAGGCCACCTCCTCAATTGGACGAGGAGAAGTTGAGGAAAGCCTATAATCAAGTTGATAGTGCCATTTTAGGAAGTAAGTTGGGAAAATATATATTTATTGTACAATGAACTGTTTTGGAGATTTATTTTAAAGCAAATATTTTGGTAAATCAAGCAATCCAACATGGTCCTTGCAAACGTTTTCTGCAATTGAATGATTTTTGTCTAAATATACAAAGATCATTGAAAACTGGTTATTCTGAATTAAGCAAATTTATTAATAATGCAATTAAAGTCATTCTTCAAATATTAGGTTGTCAAATATCTCCCTTCCGCTTTTTTGCTCTTGGTTTATAATACAAAAAGGCGGAAGGGAGATATTTGACAACCTATTACGACATGATCGGTTTGTCATTGTAATTAGCATCTAGGACTTGAACCTTTATTAGAGAAATAAAGTAATTGCTGATTAATAAATTCTATAATTTTTGTTCAAACAGTGGACAGCTGTAATATAACAATCTTGAATAATTTCATTAACACTAGTAATGAATAAACTGCATAGATGTCCATTATAAAGTGTATCTGTATATAAATGATACACAGCTACACAAACTATTGTTGTGTTTGATCTCTTGTTTAGAGTAATAAATCTAAATATCAATTTATTCTTCATTATTTATAAAAATATGCAACTTTGTAATAATGGCCATCCTAAACGAAAAACATGTAGACTTTCTCTAAAATTCCAAAAGTGTCTGAGATATAATTCTGAAAAAGATATTTACAAAAAAGATATATCTTCGGCGTGTTAGAATGAAGCTGTACCTGCTTTAATATTTTTTAATATCTATAAAATTGCAGAAAATTATTATGTTAAACAACGCCTAACAAAATATTGTTTATACAATTTCACTTGTCATGTAATTGTGTTTGAAGAACTTCATGTAACTAAAGTTAACCAAGAATCGAACCTTGAGGAACACCACACTTCATATTGGGCTCCTCCGAAACAATTTTTGAACCGCGATATTAATTAGTTAACAAAGTCTTTTTAGTTTGAACCAAGTTTTAAAATTTGTATCCTTTACCTAGGTGTTTTGGCAATAATCTTCCTCCTCCTGGTCATAATGGCGGTGCTGATTGGACGTTACCTGGCCAGACACAAAGGCGAATACCTGACCCAGGAGGAACGTGGTGCTGAAGTTGCCCTGGATTCGGACACTGCCGTTATGCAGGGACATACAGGACACCAGGTCACCAGGAAGAGGGAGTGGTTTATTTAGGACTAATGATAAAATAGACAGAGGATGAGGGATTTAGAGTTCTCGTGAATTTTTTTTTGTTAAATGCGCACGGAGATGAGGAGGAGGTTGAAGGTAGATTTATTTTTTTATGATTTTTTTTATGATATTCCAATTTTAGTTTAATATTTTTTGGAAATTTTTGTTTATTGGAAATCAAAGTTTTTGGTTTTGAGCACATTTTTTGAAACTCTTTTAAAAGAACTTTATTGCTAATTTTATTAAGTTATTTGAAGAAGAAAGCCATCTTTCCTGAAAATTCAGGAAGATTTTTTTTAAATTTATTTTAATTATTATTAACATTTATTTTTGTCGACAAACTTTACCTAGCTTATGTTGACACTTTTTACTTTGTTTTGCGATTTTAAAACAAATCTTTTAGGTATTCTGATAAATTTCACAACAAATCTTTTAGGTATTTTGCTAAATTTTAAGTATTTTGCTAACCGATATATTACTTCTTTTTTTATTTATTGCAATAAGTGAGTATTTATTAAATTAATTTCCAAAAATTTTGTACAAACGAAGTAAGCACATTTTTTTTGTGACTCAAATTTTAAAAGAATTTTATTGCTAATTTTATTAAATTATTTGAAGGAGAAAGAACTTTAAAATTTAGAAAGAATTTTTTTAGTTTTTTATTTTCATTATCATTTATTTTAGTCGACAAACTTTACCTAGCTTATGTTGACACTTTTTACTTTGTTTCACGATTTCAAAACGAATTTTTTAGGTATTTTGCTAAATTTTAAGTATTTTACTATCCAATATATTACTTATTTTTTTATTTATTACAAAGTGCGTATTTATTAAATTAATTTCCAAAATTTTTGTACAAACGAAGAAATCTCATTAGCAAAACGAGTATTATATAAGTACTTTAATATTAAATTCTCAATTAATATATATATATTTTGTTTAGAAACGTCGGCCTGAATTTTTTTTTTTGAAAGGGCCGGAATTATTTTTGGATTTATAATTTTATGAATGTAATAATTATATTTAAACATTGTGCATTAGATTTTGTTTGAAAATTTGTTGTTATATAGTTTTGTGTGGGTTTCAAATATTTCTAATGTGTTTTGTTTAAATATAATTTATATATATATATATATATATATATATATATATAAATCTTAATTTCTTTTTAAGTGTATAGTATTACTTTTATAATTATGATATTATGATTTTCCGTCCAACAACTAATTTATGATTTAATTTAATATATTTATATTTAATTTTTTTTAAACACAAACTTATAATATAAACTTAATTTTAAATGAGAAAAAAACTTAAAACTTTTTCTTAAACTTAAAATTTATAATTAAAACAGCTTGTAAATATTTATTTCGTTTGCAACAGTTTTTTTTTTGTCTTGAGCATTCCACGATAGATTTTTTTACAAATTAAAAATTTGAAAGAAAATGTGCACATTTTAAAATAAAAAAGATAAAATGATATTTTAATAATTGATTTGTATAGGTATTTTAATTTATTATTAATCGGTTAATTGGAATTTAAAGATTTTTTTTAGAAAGAACTAGAAGATAAATTTGAAACTAACTTTAAAAACTTATAGCTTTATTAAAAAAAACTTTTTTTAAATATTAAAACTAGAAAAAAACTTGTCTAATGTTCCTTAATTGTAAAATTGAAATAATATTTCATTATTTGATCTGTTAAGTAACAATAATGAATTATTAATCGGTTAATTGGAATTTAAAGATTTTTTAGGAAGAACTAGAAGATAAATTTGAATCTTACCCAAAAAAACTGTTAACTTTATTAAAACATTTTTTTTTATTATTAAAACTAGATAAAAACTCGTCTAATATTCCTAAATTTTAGAGATAAATTAAATTGCATAAATAAATAAAATATAGCAAAAGTTTTTAATATTTTTAAATAATAATAGTAAAAGTTTTTGTAGACAACAAAAACCTGAAAAAAAATCTTTAAACTTTAATTAATCCACTAATAATAATTAAATAATTTAAAAAAATGTTTTTGTCCAATTTTTAAATCTTTAAAGAATCTTTTCCAAATTTTATCAAATCCAATTGATTTTTTATAAATGTGCACATTATTTAAATAAAATTAATATATTTAAATTAATTAATTAATTAAAACTAACTGCCATTATTAATATATTATAAATATTTATATCATTTTTTCAAACGCGTGTAGATAGAATAAAAAAAATATTGAGCACTTCCAAAATAATATTTGTCTGTAATTTCGAGCCTAAAAAAACGAGCCTATTTTTTCTACCAAACTTCAATTTAGAGAGTGCCTTGGGAAGGATTAATAGACTTAATTGTATATATTGCGAAAATAAAAAAATGTAATAATAGTAATTTTATCACTTACTAATTTGTACCTATTTTTTATTATTATTATTGTATTTTTTGTTTTCGCAAATTTTAATGTCGAATCAGTATTTTATCACAAACTCTCGAATAAATTTATATATATATTTAGTAATAATTAAAATAGCTTTTAGAAATAGACGTGTCCACTCAGGATACTTTAGTCAACCAAAAAAAACGACAACACTGATGTAATAAAATAAAAACTTGTAAAAAGTCTTTAATTTCAACCTGAAATCCTATTTGAATCCAGTTCGAATCTAGCTAGAATCCGATTAGAAAGGAAACTAGTGGTGTATGGCATCGTGCTTTAAGGCAAATTGCTGGAACTTCCCGTACAGTAATGAAATATTCGAGAAATTTTAAACGTTTTCAAATATATTATCACAAATACTGTGTAACTTTCATTATTTTTGCTATCTTGTTTAATATAAATCATAAATCAATTTATCTCCAGAACATTAACAATCGTCATTTCATTTCGAATTCAATTTAAAAAAAAAAATAGTTGCCTAATTTACACAAAATTGAAAAAGTGCTCCCGTATAGTCACAGTCTGAACGCATTTGCGAATAATTCTGTGCGGCATTTTCACTTATACTGTGCTCAGCTTGGCGGCATTTTCACATTTTTCAATAATTGCCACAAAATTGGAAAAGTGCTACAGTGAAAGTGCTCCATAAACAGTCTAAATGCATTTGCAAAAACATTTGTACCAGAGTGGCGCTTAGAATGTGCTTAGCCTGGATAATTTTTTGAATTTTTAATCCAAAATTACAAAAATATTTTATGGAAAAAAAAGTGTAATAATTTTTTATTCTCAAAGGCAATTGTTTTGTCAATACAAGCAGAAAGTTTTTTAGATCATTCAAATCGGACGCATAGTTCACTCAAAAATTGCCATTTTTTGCACATTTAGATCTGTATCTTCGAAATGGCGGGGCCTGTCTTTGCCAAAAACTAATCACCTCTTCTCCCAATCATTACAAATTGATTGTTTTTTAGATCATTCAAATCCTAGACTTTATTCTCACAAAAGCTCGATTTGTATTTTCTGCACTCTTTGCTCCATATCTCCGTAACGGCTGGACCTGCCTTTGCTAAAAACTAATCAGCACATCTCCCTATCAATAGGAATCGAATGTTTTTTAAACCATTCAAATCGGTTGATCCGTGCGCCCGAAAAATTTTATCCGTATTTGTACCTCATTTTTTCTGAGGTATGCCATAATGTTCAGAAACCTTCAGAACGTTAAGAAATGCAAAAATTTTCATTTTCGATTTTCGGTCCATTACTATAACTACACTACAGGAAGTTAAATATGAGTTTCTTTCAATATATAATATTATTAATATACAAAATATAACTTACAATTAAAATAATAACGTATCTTTATTATTTAATAATATTACATTATTAGTTAAAATGTTTAAAAAACTTTTGGGATGTTTTAAAAAAATATTCACTTCAAAAACTTAATTTTTAATGTCCAGGCCTCCCGGACTATTTTCTATACCCTAACATATAAAACAGCTAACAGTTATCACTACCAAAACAACTAGGTTTTCGTTTCACAAACATTATTGCTACTTTTTTTTAAATCTACAGCTAGTTTTATGAAAGTTTAGGGAAGATTGTAAAGAGACTTATGAAGTTTTACTTCAGATTTTGTAAGGGAGTCCGGTTATGCTTTAGTTTGCTCTAAAAAGTTTAAAGTAAATTTTTACAAAAAATATAAAATAGATTGGGATGTGTTTTAGTAATGAGCCTTAAGAAGTTTTACTTCACATTTCGTAAGGGAGTCCAGTTAAGATTTAGTTTGCTATAAAAAGTTTAAAGCAAGTTGTTAAAAATATATACGGTGGAATCTACAGTTAGTTTTGGTACAACATGAATTTTAGGGATGTTTGGGTTGTGTTTTAGTAATGAGCCTTACGAAGTTTCACTTCAAATTTTGTGATGCGGATTTATAGATATTTTATATGTACCTCTGTAGATATGTCGTTACATGTGTACTGCCGATGATATGATTTTACATTGCAAAGATATGTGGCATCTTGTTCTGATATGACTTAGTATAAGACAGTTATCAACGTAAATATTATAGGCCTGTGAACACAACCGATTTTATGTTATATTTTGTTCAGTTCTCTCTGGTTGGTTGATTATCCAATTGACATCTCCAATAAAAATGTGAATCTTTGATCACAGAAGAGCACAAATCAAAAATCCAGTAGCAACCCCAATAACCATCAAAGTCAAATCTTTTCTGACAGCATTGTCTCGTATCCAATGAGTTCTGGTGATCATCATATCTTTCCTGGCTTTATCGTAGGCCATCAGGGGTATGATGACGTGCAGGATATCAGGGATCATGAAACCCAAATCTCGAATCACCTAAAAATAGAAAAGGATTGAAGAACTTCTAAATCAAGTGGTGAAATATTGACAAAAACCAAAAAAATGTCCCGAATTTTCTATATTTATTGCTTAAGAATGAAATATCGAATTCAAAGTCGTTTTATTCAAAACTTTTATATCGGAGTGTATAAAAGTGTTTCCTAGGAAATGTTGTAAATTTTATTTACTTTCACCCTATCCAACTGAAAAGGGATGGTTCCATATGAAATTTTTGAGTTATTTGACAAAAACCAAAAAAATGTCCCGAATTTTCTAATTATCTTCTATATATATAAAAATAAGTCGGGTTTTCCTTCCTGATGAAATAGTTCCAGAACGCACGTACCGATTTCGACAATTTTGCATTCGTTGCAAAGGTCTCGGGCTCCGCAAGGTTTATAGCTAACAAAATTAGTTGTGCATGGCATCGTCCCTTAATGCAAGCTGCTGGAACTTCATGCACCGTAATTAAAAATTCGAGTAATGACATTAGTGAGAATTATCAGAATTTTGCTTGGTTAAGTCAACGAGCAATTCTTGCCGCCAAGAATAATGATGTACACGCACTGAATTTCACCATTCAATCAAAAATTGCTGGCGATTTGGTGACATACCAATGATTCCGACTGGTCTTCCGTTTGACTTCAAACGAATGCAATTTCCAGTTCGCCTTAATAACAAGTCGCAAGGCCAATCGCTTAGTGTTTGCGGGATAAATTTGAAATAGATTATTTAGAGAATCATTGTTTTTTACATGAGCAGTTATACGTTGCCTGTTGACGAGTTGGAAAACCATCCGCTTTGTTTGTGTTAACGTCAGACCAAAAAACAAAAAATGTGGTTTACCAAAGAGCACTTCAATGAAACGGATAATTTGCGGATTCACTTTCATTTACTTAGAGAAGTTCAACTAAAAAATACTTCGATTTTTGTGATCGAAATAAATTCATTACTGTTGTGTAATAAAATCAAATTTTTCCTTTTTAAATATAAAACAAACAAAAAATTTCTTCATCTTTCTCACGAAACCATCTGGTGGCGAAACGGAGTTCGTCGGGTTTGCTAGTTGTGCTATAATAAAATATCAAATTCAAAGTCGTTTTATTCGAAACTTTTTTATCGGAGTGTATAAAAGTGTTCCCTAGAAAACGCAGTAAATTTTATCTAGTTTTTCCCTGTCTAACTAAAAAAGGGTGGTTCTATATGAAATTATTGAGTTATTTGACAAAAACGAAAAAAATGTCCCGACTTCTAAATCAGATTGTGAAATATTGAGACTATTACTTACCTGGTGGGAGTATCCTTCGCCCCGGACAACGTTGTTGAAGAACTGGTCTGCACCACCGGCTAAAATGTGGAGCAGGGCTACCCCTACGATGATAAACACTTTTCGGGACGTCACTGGATTTTGTTTGTCCGCCAAATTCATCACCACGGCGGTGGACAACAATTCTGTCACCTGGGGGAAAAAATTGATGTGTGGTGAAGACAATTGTGGATGCTTACTAATTGAAGAATAGAACAAGATTTTTGAAGTAAAACTTCTTTAGTCGCGACATGGGTGTAAAAACTTCTTTAGGCGCGACACGGGTTAGCAGTATAATTCGTGAGTTAATAAAAATGTCAGGATCTGAAGAATATTTTATCCCGTCCCCCATAAATAATTGTAGTGCAAATGATCGCAAATAAATAATGAAACTAAGGAAAAATCTGCGCTGCGTAAGAAATGATAGCTTTGGCTATGTATGTTTTGTGTGTGATCGACTTTGGCTTCAAAGTGACTTAGAAATATCAAATGATGCTCAAAAACAAATTCTTAATAATGTTTTTTGAATATTGATTGAAATAATCAGGTTGGATGTCAAACTTGTCGAAAGGTATTAAATTCGGGTAAAATTTCCACTTTGTGTAAATTTAACGGGTTTGTATTTCCACCTATACCAAATTATCTAGCTAAACTAGATACTGTATCTGAAAGATTAATTTCACCCAAGTTGTGTTTCATGCAAATTAGACGATTGCGACATGCAAATGAACAATTTGAAATGTTTGGCCAAATTATAAATGTGCCTGTTGACATTAATAATATGGTTAATTTATTACCTCCTAATATTGATGATGATCATTGCATTAACGTTCACATAAAAAAGCAAATGATTCATAGATCAAGCTATGTGCAGGGCTTGATAAATAAAACAAATATAAAAGTATGGCTTCAATTTGTTAGGCAAGACGGATATTACAGCTGTTCAAGGAATGAGATTATATCGACAGCGAAAAAGTAAAAAAATACAAACAGTAAATGAATGTATGTTAATTTTAATTACATGAAGTTCTTCAAACACAATTGTTACAGGATGAGTTAATTTGCAAAAACAATATTTGTTTAGGCGTTGTTTAACATAATCCACTGTGTGAATAAATATTATAGAATTTATTAATCAGCAATTACTTTAAAAGGATCATGTCATATTTTAAGTACGACTTTGATTACATTATTGTTTGTAAATATTATACATATTTTTAATGTAATCATAAACATATAATTTATAATTTATCATTATATAAATGTGTATAATGATTGACGACACTAATAAATGTGTGCATCACGAGTGTTACCATATTACTAATAAACATTATTCAAAATTGTTATATGATGTATTTATTTACACTCAACTTAAATTTGCTACTTTATACAGTAGCAAATAAGTTTTACTTCAATCGCGTGTGATCCTTACGCGCACTCTTTTTTTATCCTGGATCCTTTATCTTACCGTGAAGAACATCTGGTGGTTCCACTGCACATAAAAGTCGTCATTGTAGTAGTTCAAGCAAACCCACCAGGCATAATAGTGAGAAAAAACACTGGCACAAAACAAGACGACCATTGGGTTTCTCAATCGATCCTTTTCCGAGTGCAGCCGAAGCAAACGTGCAGAACATTCATACAAAGCTATTGCACCACCAGCAACCAGGAACCAGATTTTGGCAGCTGCTGAAGTCGCATTGAAATAGAGATGTTTGTATGAAGCCACACCAGACTCATAAGGACCTGGGAATAAAGGACCGAGTTATTTATTTATTTATTTTAAATATATAGCCCACAGATTTCTTCCAAGAGCACTCAAAAATACAATTATTTTACATAATGAATAACAATTAAAATATATACAAAATTACAATATATATAGTTATTAACATAAAATGCTTAACATACAGTTACATATAATGCAGAATGTAACAATATTATATATTTACAGAATAAGATAAAATAATGAGATATTTGAAAAGAAAATAAAAAAGGTTAACTTGTGCAGATGGAGATTATTTGATTAGGTGAAGTGTTGTGAATATCTATTTCATTATTAATCAAGTTAAAGTTAGAGGACATAAGTAAAATAGGCGAATTTGAGAGAGAATTAGATTTAGGAGTAGGATAATTGAAAAATAATTGTGAACCTAAAAGGATAGTTGGTTGAGAATAACAGGACAGTCTATAGAATTATTGCAAAGTTTAAATAAGAACATAATTGTACAGATAAATCGACGTGAGGCAAGGTAAAGAATACCAAATTCTTTTAGTAAAGTGTTGTGGTCAGGGTAAATTTTATATGTTTTATAATAAAGATATTCCAGAAATTTTCGCTGAACCTTCTCTATCGCATCAGAGTTGTTGATTTGATGAGGATACCAAATAATCGAACCATATTCTAATTTTGAACGTACAATAGAATAGTACATGCAAAGAAGTGCATTGGTAGAATTGAATTGTTTACAATTTCTCAGTATCAAACCTAAAGATTTGTGTGCTCTATTACAAATATCAGTTATATGATCCAGAATCAAATAAAACTCCTAAATCTAAAATTTTATTACATCTATCTTGTTCTTACGCGCTTATGTGAAAAACTAAGAATCTTGCACTTTGATATACTTAAATGCAATTTGTTAAAGACACACCAAGAGTGGAAAGAGTCAAGTTGAGACTGTAATAATAAGCAGTCATCAATAGAATTTATTTTGAGACATATTTGAGATCATCTGCAAATAATAAATGTGGACAGCTAATAATATCAGATATGTCATTAATAAAAATAATAAATAGCAGTGGACCAAGAATGGATCCCTGAGGAACACCTGAACTGATATTTTCAATGTTACTCAAGAATCCATTAAGATAGACGAACTGTTTACGATTATGAAGATAACTCTTAAAAAAATAAATAAGTGAAGAATTAAGACTAATCTTAGATAATTTATTAAGAAGAATGTTATGATCAATTTTGTCAAAAGCTTTACTGAAGTCAGTGTAAATAACGTCAACTTGTCCATTAGTGTCAAGATTATAATAAGCAGTCATCAATAGAATTTATTTTGAGACATATTTTGAGATCATCTGCAAATAATAAATGTGGACAGCTAATAATATCAGATATGTCATTAATAAAAATAATAAATAGCAGTGGACCAAGAATGGATCCCTGAGGAACACCTGAACTGATATTTTCAATGTTACTCAAGAATCCATTAAGATAGACGAACTGTTTACGATTATGAAGATAACTCTTAAAAAAATAAATAAGTGAAGAATTAAGACCAATCTTGGATAATTTAGTAAGAAGAATGTTATGATCAATTTTGTCAAAAGCTTTACTGAAGTCACTGTAAATAACATCAACTTGTCCATTAGTGTCAAGATTATCAGCTATATACTGTTTAAATTTGTTATCTCAGAACGGGCAGGCATGAATCCATGTTGATTAGTAGAAATTGAAGTTCTAACAGAAGGAATTAGTTCTCTATAAATAATTTTTTCAAATACCTTATATAAATCATAAGAAGTTAACTTTGGGGACGG